AAGTTTTGGTACTTTTGTTTATGTTTTGTAGGATATTGCAAACACGAAACTACTGTTTTGGTCTCAAATAGATGGGTGATGAACCGTCCCAGTGTGTTCGGTAGGGATAATGTAAGCTACGGAACTCGTGAAAATATCTCCTTTTCCCCGTCACTCTATGAGAGAAACATGATGTTTCACTCGACACATAAAATATCCTCTAAATATTTGCCTGATGTTTTTCCCTGGTCTGATTGGGTGTTGTTGTAAACTTGTCAGTTGTAGTGTGATAGAGCAATCACTTTTCGTACTCAAAATCATTATCCCGATATGACTAATGTATAACATTTCACATTTTCACCTCACTTTTTTTCTTTGATCCTCTGATCTGAAACAATTTACTTTTACGCCACAGTCAGAAATATTCCTGCTATCGCATAATGGCAAGTACAATTTGAGTATCGACCAAATAAAGCAGTTGCTGTTGTCTCCAGCAAAGTCCTAGTTCAGGTACAATGAGACGCAATCACATAATATCCTGAACCTGACAACTATTATATTTAGTCGTCTCTTACAACAAATGTCTGTTACCGGGCAAATTCAAAGTGCAACCATTGCCCGTTTACCTTGAATTATCTTTAAGTGTGCGACAACGAGGTGGAGGAAGATGGAACAAAGGGTGTTCACGTGGTGTACAAAAAGATGTACAAGAAGAGATGCCAAAGTATGTATCCTCTTTGATGTTGCTGTCATGACACTTTGGCAGTTGGCCAATTTTATACTACATATGCATATTTGCGCTCCGTATATTATCATATAAAGTACATGTCATCCCGCAAACATGAGGCACATGTTTGAAATATATAAATGAAACATGCAAGCAGTTGTCTCATTCAGTGAATCCTAGAGTTGAAACTGTTTTGAATGCCGAACGGGTCCTTTGCATGCATTTGTAGACGTTAATAGTATCACATTGGCACGTTGCCTGATCATACTCATATTGAAGTGCAAAAGACGCAATTTGTAATGCTACATTTGACATAAAATAATATTGGCAATAAACAATCCCCCGATTTAAAGTGCCGGAGAAACAAACATGATTTGCTTTAATTCACGGGAACAATATACTGTTCCTGCGTTGATAAAATAGACTACTGGGATGAACAGAAGTAATTGTATGTTCCATGTGATGTTCAAATACACAGAGAAAAAAGCAGAATACAAGATCAGCTTCAAGACTGGAGACGAGAGAAATGCTGGTACCAAAGCTGACTTGTTACTTACCATCTCAGGGGCGTGTGGAGAACTTGGTGCGGAAATAAAAAATGGGAAAAATATCACACCAAGGAGAGGAAGTCTACGTACATTGAAGGTAGGTTAACTGTTGCCGACTGGAATGTAGCTGAATGACCTTTTAACATAATTCACTTAAAATAAGTGTTCTTGTCTGATATTTCATTGAAGGTGTTCGAAACACTACCACGGTAAGGGATATGCATCCGATTGGAATATAACTGTAATGTAACTGTAACCGGCATATTGCCCAAACACAGTCAAAGCAAGTTAACTATTCCTAACTGGAATGAAACTGAAGATGCCGAAACACTCAAGGTCACCTAATTGATCCCCACTGGAATGCAGCCAAAGGACGCCGTGGCACACACAAGGTAACCGAACTGTTCCTGTCTGGAATGTAGCTTAAGGACGCCGGGGCACACACAAGGTAACCGAACTGTTCCTGTCTGGAATGCAGCCAAAGGACGCCGGGGCATACACAAGGTAAGCGAACTGTTCCTGTCTGGAATGCAGCCAAAGGACGCCGGGGCACACACAAGGTAACCGAACTGTTCCTGTCTGAAATTTAGCCGAAGGACGCCGAGGCACACACAAGGTAACCGAACTGTTCCTGTCTGGAGTGTAGTTGAAGGACGCCGTAGCACACACAAGATAACCGAACTGTTCCTGTCTGGAGTGTAGTTGAAGGACGCCGTAGCACACACAAGGTAACCGAACTGTTCCTGTCTGGAATGTAGGTGAGGTATACACAAGGTAATATCTCTATTTCACGACTGGGACCTAGTTGAAGGGCCTTTGCTGTAATGTAACATATCTTTGATGTTAAACCTTCAGTGTTAATAAGGGAAAAATCAAAATGCGTCACTGAACTAAATTGCCTTGTTAGTCATTATTATCCACAGAGGTGTAGAGTCAGCAAGATTAAAAAAATAACCGTTTTTTTATACATTGTTTTGTTTCATATTTTGGCTGTTAAACACTAATGCAAGTCACAATAGCTTATTGCAAGCAAATTCAAGTGTATCATGAGGAGGTCCTGTGGTTTAAGATTGGACACGATGACAGGCATTCAACCGATCTATATAGTCGATTGTTACGACTAGTCACAGTTCGCCGGGACTGTATCCTTGCCCGGGACTGTTCGGGATTGTGGGACGGTACTGTATGTAGTGATCATGGTTTGACTATTTAGAAGAAGATACATCGAAACTGTAGGTTTTCTTTGAACATTTTAACAGTATTGCTGTTTCATACTTCTCATGGCCTCATTTCTTTCAACAATGCCATGGTATATGTTTTTGCTGAATCATTAACAAATACTTCGATATAGTCTGAATCATATAATGGAATTTCGATTTCTCATGATTATTGGAGGGTCTTGTGGCTTTTATTTGTAATAGTACACTACATTTCTTTAACACATAAAGCTGACACTCCACGATATATAACTGGAATACTGTTAAAAGCGGCATTAAACCCAACTCTCTAACTCATTCTGCCCCCACATGGAGTATACTAATAATGAAAGAAAAGCCCGGTGTAAGAAGAGACCAACGTGAAGGGACCTGGTATTCCTGGTATGTACACCTTTTTATCCACGTGGATGGTAAAACATGAATTGTCGTGTTTACTCCTATTTGCATGGACTCATTAACTTGATGAGGAGTCATTAGTTTGAATCATTCAACAATATGCGTGCTTTTTGAAATGACTGTGATGAGAGCCAGCAGGGTGCCACGCAGACGTTTTGTGTCCATTTGAATATCTCTGAAAAGGTGTTGTTTAGCGCCGCACATGGTAATATTCCAGTTAGTTGACAGTGGACTATAAATAACCGAGAATGCACCAGACATGCCAGGGGTTGACAGCACGGGCATCCATCTACGTAAGTGGTATCCTTGTGTCAAACAAGTCAGCGAACCTGAGCATCAGATTCTGTTAATCACCTCTTGTGACAAGCTGTTGTTGTAACCCGGATATTCGCGAGGGGAAACCTGAAAATGTGGAAGTGGTTTGACAATCGTGATTTGATAACACTCACTGATATTATATCAACATAATCATATTCTCATGTTGATGTTTGACCTGACTAATTATTGGTCGGATGTTGTTTACATTGCATGGCACCCGGCAACATAATTATTTTCATTACTCATACCTTCACACAATATTGTCGCTGAGTATTTCAACACATCCATTAACTTTTCCACTGGTGAGCCCCAGAAAATTAATATATATTTGAGGATAAAATGAACCATGTTAGTTCTGCCAAGTCGAGAATGACACACCGTCGTGCAATCCAATGTGCTTTTATCGACAGTGATCGTGGCAGGGGTCACTTAAAAAATCACCCATGTGGAGTAAGAATAAATCCCCAGTAATCTCCACTAAAAAGGTGACGAATGGCTTTATAGTATGATCTTGTTTAGTGCCTTGGTTGCCTGTCGGTCATTACGTGGTTTGTCTTGTCTGCACTCGATTACCTCGAGGTCCTGGTAGCGAAGAAAAAAAGGAATGACGGATCTTTCAGAAATTAGAATCATCTTCTGCTCACATATTTACAATTAGACCACCAGCATCATGTACTTGTGTGAAACGGGTGCCCCCGATGGGACATCTAACGCTCTCCCATTCGCACAAAAGCTAGTATCAAGACTATCAGATAGTGAATCATTAAGACGCGATGAATTTTCTTTTTATCCTGGACAATGTTTTAATCGGTTATCTTTATATTGAGGTGCTAAATTTAATAGAAAGATGCAGTTCTGAAATATATAAACAAATACGGAAACATACTGCTCTCTTAAACTTGCATGTCTGATATTCTTGACATGTTCACACAGAAAATCCAAGGCGAGGGTCATTGAAGGGTCGTACCATCGCGTTGCATTATTAACTCTAACACAGAACATTTAATTGGTTAAAACATGCATCAATATGCGTGTTGTTTGAGATTTGTGTGCCGAGTTGAGAATAGTTAAATGCTAAGGTTAAATGAATCATAGAAAAGCTATCATTCAGTCGTGGATTGTAGGACATGGTTTTTTTTAAGTCCCTGGTCAGTCTGGTCTGGAGTCCAGATTTGTTCACTAGTTGTTGTGACATACAGACATATAGACTATGACTGTAAACTAACTCACTTCATCAACGTTTAAGAAGAGATCAAAATATGCTGCATCAGAAAATTAAAAAAAACACATTGAAAGTGAAAACACATTTTTGAAAACTTAACAAGCGTCTTTTTTAATGAACTACCTTTGTGACAAGGACTGTCAATAATAGGGAAATATGACATATTTCCCTTTTTAGATATATGACTGGAATTGTGTGAGCAGTTCGTAGATTTACATTGTTGGAGTAATATGCACAAGATTCAGGTAAATAAATGTTAAAATAAGTGTTAGTGTCAACGATCGCAATACCAGATATGATATAATAAAATATATTCTGGATATTGTTCACATATATTTGCTGACCATGACAATCCACAACAATACTTGCAGTCGTTGTCCTGAAGAACAATACTGCTACCTTGGCGACCATGTGTGGTGTATGATCAGAATGTTATAGGAACCCAAGGTGCTGATTCTGATCGAAGGACAGACTTTGGACCATGGCATATTTGCCGTGTGATGAAGCATATATCATTGGGGTTACCCATTAACTCAAAAACAGCGAGGGATTGCATGTAACGCTAGTTTTAACAATATTCTAGTTATATCACAATGTGTCAGCTTCATGTGGAAGAAAGGACCGAGGTAATACTGGTCTAAGACATTTACCACTTTAGCTAAACCACGAACATGGGCATGGTGCCACACACCTACACAAGCCAAGGTTTCTGGCGACTCGTCAGTTTAGACGATGAGCTTCCCGTGACCATCATGCATACATAAATACCATCAGAACAATAATACTATTAAAACAAAAAATCATTTTATAAACTCACCTTTATCAAACCAAAGATCTTAAACATACTGAACACGAAGCATTTGAACCATCAATCTCCAGTATCAATGTAGAATCATTTTTTGATGTGGTTAAAGATTGGACCTATATATTGGATAATAACGGCTAGTCACAGGTCGCCGGGACTGTATCCTTGCCCGGGACTGTTCGGGATTGTGGGACGGTACTGTATGCAGTGATCATGGTTTGACTATTTAGAAGAAGATACATCAAAACTGTTAGGTTTGTTTGAAGATTATAACAGTATTGCTGTTTCATACTTCTCATGGCCTCATTTCTTTCAACAATGCCATGGCACATGTTTTTGGTGAATCATTAACAAATACTTCGATATAGTCTGAATCCTACAATGGAATTATGATTTCTCCTGATTATTGAAGGGTCTTGTGGCTTTTATTTGTAATAGCACACTACATTTCTTTAACTTCTCACAGAAGTATATAGCTGTAGAAACTATCTGTTTCAGTTTATTACCGATTCCGTCTGCACTGTGGAGACAGTCAGTGTTGCCTTTGTTGACCTCTGTCACACAGATGATTGGTTCATTGAATACGTGAGTTACTTTGCCCGTCATTATGTGATTCAGTAGAGCCTCCGTGTGCGTGAATGGGTGAATGTGCGTCAACTCCGTCTAAGTCTAAAGAGACGAGAGCATACTAGTCTTCTATTTTCTGAAAAGGCAAAAACGTATTCGCGAAGAGTGAAGATTCAGTAAGTATATATACTTTTCACAACGCAACATGCATGTATGTACATACATATGTGTCCACCATTATGTTTTGAAGACAACTAGTATCTCAAGTATCCAGATATAATGTTTCACACATTATACAGAGTGAGTGAGTGAGTGAGTGAGTGAGTATTGTTTTACGCCGCTTTTAGCAATATTCCAGCAATATCACGGAGGAATCGAACCCGGGTCTTCGGCGTGACGCACTTTATACAGAACAACTCTTTCTGGATGATATTTTGGTTGTGAGTGAGATATATCATTGTTGTGGTGTTCAGTTAAGTTGAGCTAAGTATTTTAGTTGTGGCACAGTGCCTGACTTTCATGTTGGAAAGACCAAGCATAATAGTGTGGGCGATCTCGAAATAGAATCCACCATCATTAGACCCGTGCACGGGAAAAGGATGCCTCAAGGTCATCAGTCATATTGGCGACTATCAAATTAATATTTGTTTGGATATTTGTAAATATATAGCCTCAACGCCAGAAAATAAAACTCTGATAAATTGATTTTGGTTTTGAAACATTGTTGTGATCACTATGGTTATGGGTTCCAAACTTCATTTTAAGATGTTGACATCGTCTGTATATGTTTGCTCTGTTGTTTCACCCATGTTGTTAGTTTTTAATGTCGACTTTCAGATTGAAGTGAACTATGAGGAGATGGAGACAGGCGAGGGAATCGTCATACTGTTTAATACATACTACTGGTTTACTGCACATGGCGATGAAGATCAGACAACCGGAATAACTTGTGACAGTGCTGCTAGTGGGGCTGTTCATTGCTCGCCTTGCCAGAGATGTGAATAACTGCAAATGTGTATTTTTTGTCGATATTAAACTCTCAATGTATCGATATTTACTGCGTTGCTAGCTGGGTCACATAACTGAGAACATATAATCAAGGCAATCAAGTTGATGCCTGTAGAAATCTCGAGTCGTCTATGTTATCCATTCACACCTTTTAGGCCACCAGTAACCAAAGCTAGGCCACCCCACTGGGGAACATTGATACTTACAGTACCTCTGCTTCCTGCATGATACCCCAGCAGGATTTACGTCACTTTAGCCACTGGTAGTTGTGCACAATGCTAGCCAATATTACAAAATGAGTTGGCTTAAAAACACTGGTTGATGATAATTACATTGATTATGATAGGATTACCTTTGGTTACTGTTGGCCTATAACCCTTGTTTTAAAACAGTATATATAATATTGTTATGTTCAAATATGTTTCATGAATCGTTTCTAAATATAGTATGCTCAAATATGTTTTACAACTTGTTTTTAAAGAACACTTTGCAGTACTGATATATATATGAATTGGTCTCGTCGCTATATGGCTGAGATAATGCTGATGCGACGTTAACTTTTAACTCAATCACTTTGTCTTCGCATGGCAAATCTTGTAGACCAGTGCACCCACAGGCTACCTACACATTGGATTCCCTTAAAATAAAGACTAGGAGAGTTTGCCAGGTCTTCACACAGATTAATTGCCTTACCATATAGATTAGGAGAGTTTGTCAGGTCTTCACGCAGATTAATTGCCTTACCATATAGATTAGGAGAGTTTGTCAGGTCTTCACTCAGATTAATTGCCTTACCATATAGATTAGGAGAGTTTGTCAGGTCTTCACACAGATTAATTGCCTTACCAAATAGATTAGGAGAGTTTGTCAGGTCTTCACACAGATTAATTCCCTTACCATATAGATTAGGAGAGTTTGTCAGGTCTTCACACAGATTAATTGCCTTACCATATTAATTAGGAGAGTTTGCCAGGTCTTCACACAGATTAATTGCCTTACCATATATATTAGGAGAGTTTGACAGGTCTTCACAAAGGGACTTCTCGGAGATCTGAATTTAATATTACTTCATTAGCATTGCAGTGTGACAGGTTAAATGCCAAAAATAGCATGCCCTAAACTGTTTTTTTCTGTATGACGTCAAAAGGCACCAGAGAGGTTACACACGTACAAAGGAAAGGGAGCATAACTCCGCTAAGCTTAGCACTAGTTCATTGTAACTCAGGTCACTTGGTGAGAATTAGCTGCGGGTAAGGACAATATATTTTCGTGGTGTTTTGTTTATGAGAAACCAAACTATTCAAAAACAAGTATCAATATTTGAAACCGTATACGTTTAGTTATAAAAAACAACAGCATAAGAAATGATGAAATCATACTTCATCAAAAAGAGTTAATAGAGAAATGGATGGCTCGATCTAACCTATAGATTTCAATATTCTCCTGATTGTGTAAGTATTATTTGACTAATTTTGCACCATTATTAATTGAGCACCTGCCTTATCATCAAATGTTTTGAAATACCAAAACATAACACCATTCCTTTTGACGTCTTGGCTGGTTTTATGCCTTTGAAAACGTCGGAGAAAGACAACACTGGTATTTTGATAAATATATATATCTCCCATAAATTTTGTTCATGGTATGGAAAAACTTGATACGTTTTTTGACACAACATAAAATGACTGCTTTCACTTAGTAACTAATGTCTTGAGTATGTAAACATTTTTTTTTTGTATCTTAATTTGACAAGAAATGCACCTGTTTGGCATCAAATTACCTAATGAAAAGCCCAAAATAATATTTCAAAACAACCAAAATTATATTCAATATTGGACACATATTTGTGATCAAAATATTGAAAAATGAATGGTAGGGGGATTTTACGAAGGGACTACTGTTATGTGTTGTTATAATTTTCATTGAAACCATCGGAGATAATCCGATAAATACCGTTTTCTCGTTGTGCGTGATTTTGTGTCAGTCATGGCGTCACACAGGACGCTAACTTTGACAATTTCTGTTGCCTTCTATTTTAAAGCCCCTAATTCTTCCTACAATTCTCTTCTGCAGTCAATCCTATCCTTCTGAATATCTCGACCGTATCATGGAATAAATCGACAGTTTAAAAGGAATTGTCGTTCGCTCTTATTTACATGAACGAATAGACGAATGGAAATTTCAAAATAAGAGATAATGCAACACTGTGTAAAATCTGAATTTTGCATTGGTTACATTTCAAACAAAACAAGTTTTTGGCTTGATTTCATCTAGCCACCTTATTTTTGTGACAAAGAACATTGGTCAATTGAATCTGAAATGTATGAGGAATTCAAGGATGTATGTATGGCAGCTAAGTTTGAAACATACGTGATGTTACAGGCGTCTCATAACCAGTGAACATGAAACTTGATCTTAAAAACACTATCCAATATGGCGGAAAGTTCACTTCGGCGTTCGTGTTTGCATATTTTCCAAAACATTCGAAATGATTCTAGGGTTATCGGAGACGTTTTGAAATGATCATTGGTGATTTGATGAAAGACAGATACCCGTGATCACTAATATGCTAGTTTTAAAATTCAAATTGAAATATATAATTCTGAGTAAATCTCCGAAATTTAGATTTTAAAATTTTGCTGTAAATAACGCCGTGAGAGATGACTTCGTAATGTGTGAAAAATGGCAACATTTAAGATGTACCTTATGTTCAGTTATCATTTTCAGTACTTTTGCGTGGCCTAAAATGCCAGTGGATGATATCACAGAACAGGGAATTCCCACCTGATTCAAAACTGTGAAGTGTATTTGTATGGGTTATGTATTTTGAATTTTATTCGACTTCAAAGTGAGGGTTGTAGAGGAGAACATGCATGTCTCTGTGGCATCCAGGAAGTTAAACAACTGGAGTAACCTTGCCCGGTGACTTTTTCTCACTGGTTATTGATGCTACAAACATGTCACCAGTAGAGTGTTAGCAGCGTATACGCCTAAATATAATGTCAGTGGATCTAATATTGTTTTGTTCGTGTTACGAATTAGCTCAACTGGTTGTAAAGCATGTTGAGGTTGATCAAAGCATCATGCCCCAATGCTCCCATCACGTACTGTATTTTTTTCTGATTTCAAATATTACCGTATTTACATAGTCAGCTACAGATTGGTAAACATTCATCAACACTAGGTCCACACTCATCTGTCATATATATGACTGATTTTTTATAACTTTTTTTCAAATGTTCTTAACTCTCCCAAAATACGCTCTGGTCTTAGGTCCAATTTCACCAAAATTTGTTTTAGAGTTTTGATTCATTTTCTTAGCATAGTCGTCATGTAAATGCAAAAGTCATAATCTTAAAAAGCCTTTTCTGTCTGAGTATTTGGTGCTGCGACTTTAAACACATGTTCCTTTGTTTGCGATAATTTGGTATTTCTTCTAAATTGTTTTGAAATGCAATCCCTGAAACAATAAACACTATATCCGAACATTCAGATACTTCTTCCTACCAACACCGGGAATTGTGCACATATTTTAATTATTTGGCGATATCAAAATGTTATACGTGTTACTATGATGTAAATTGTGTAGGCACAAGTGGTCTAAGGCCCCACAATTTGCTGTCCATGAGCTGCGTCCTTGGTCACGCCATGAATCTATGATAGCGGGTTCGCCCAAATATGTTTCTAGGCTTCTGAGCACAATACTAAAGTGCTTCGACCTGCATCACTTCTTGATTTCCTCCAACATCAAGCTGACACACCGTGAAAAAGTGTTCAAAGGAGCGTTAAAAACCCAACTCACTCACTCACTCGTAATCTTTCTCAAAATGTATTTTTTATCATTAAGCAGACAGGCGGTTGGTATGTTCTTCATTCAATGACATCATAATTGATTGTGTAGTGGCCGTCGTGAATGGGATGTAATATTGCTGTCAGTTACACAACACAACGCTTTTCCCATATGACAAAGTAAGAGAATATTCTGCTGCTCAAATATGTATCATGGGAACATCTGAATCTATCGCATATGTATACTAAAATGAAAAAAAAGAAGTATTCTAAAACATATTTGTGACATCAATAAACACATTTGCTTAAAGTAATATTCATATAATGTATAAGAAGTAAATGACGGAGGGCGATTTTTAGTTTTAACATACTTATATATAAAAGAAATAAAGTTTGCACTCATGTGTAGTGTTATACGATATACGATATACGATATACGATATACGATATACTGTAGTTTTGCCCTGTACAATTATGATAAAAGCACGACCAGACTGTTGCTTTTTTACGTTTTAAAATGCAATTTTTATTTTTTTTAAATTTTTTAAATCATATTTCAATGTCAGGGACACGATATGATAAAAAAAAAAAATCATGCTTTAACAAGTGACCATCGCGAAAAGACCGTTTTTGCAACACAACAGGTTTTGAAACAAGAAGCCTGAATCCATGTAAACACTTCAGGATACAATTTGAGAACTGCAGGCTTTACGACAGTCTATTCTATAACGCACAGGAACATCTGTAGACATCAGATCAAAAGTTAAACAGAACTGAACACATATTAATTGGCCGTTAACCTATTGTCCCAGTAGTACAATTTTCGCATATCGACCGAGAATTGATGCAATGATGTTGATATTAAGGTTTGAGTGAGGAAGTACAAACAGTTTATACATTAACATAAAACAACGAATAGTAAATGGTAAACATCAAGAACAAAGTAATAAACAAACTTAGACAAGGATTTGGAATTTAATAACCTTAATTCATGAATGCAATTTAAATATCGTGCAAACAAATTAGTACTAGTACTGTTAGCTAAGCCCAAGCTACATCAGGGCGCTGTACACAAGAAAGTACACACTGCAAGCATGTGTGGGAATCAAACGCAAGCCTTGTGTGTTTTCAGCAAACGCTTCAGATATGTTTGTGTCCTATTTCAGTCGAAATATATGTAAACACATTGTTTGCTCTACCCCAATGTGGGGGCACGTGTGGCCAAGTCGTCTAAGGCGCCGCGATTCGCTGTGCAGAGTTGCGTCCCTTGAGCACGCCAGAAACCTATGATTGTCGGTTCGAATCCGGGTTCGTCCCAATTATGTTTCTAGGTTTGTCAGCACCATACCCATGCCCATGGGTTTCACAGATGTGGTGAACGTCTGAGACATGCATCACTTCGGGTTTTCCCCTCACATAAAGCTGACACGCCACGATATAACTTGAATACTGTTTAAAGCGGCGTTAAACCCAACTCACTCACTCACTCAGCCCCCACGTGGAGTATAATAATCATGAAAGAAAAGCTCGGTGTAAGAAGAGACCAACGTGAAGGGACCTGGTATTCCTAGTATGTACACCTTTTTATGCCACCTAGTCGGTAAAACATGAAATGTCATGTTCACGCCTATTTGCGTCGACTCATTAACTTGATGAGGAATCATTTGTTTTAAACATTCATCAATAAGCGTGCTTTTTGTAATGACTCTAATGACAGTCAGCAGGGTGCCACGCAGACGTTTTGTGTCCATCTTAATATCTCTGAAACATTGTTGTTTAGCGCCGCACAATCTTGGTTTGATGACACTCACTGATATTAGATCAACACAATCATATTCTCATGTTGATGTTTGACCCGACCAATTATTGGTCGGATGTTGTTTACATTGCATGGACCCGACAATAGAATTATCTTCATTACTTATGTCTTCACACAATATGATCTTTGCTATTTCAACACATGCACTTTTACAGTGGTGAGCCGCAAGAAATGGATATATAGTTGAGGTTTAAGGGAACCATGCAAGTTGTAATGCTGCCAAGTCGAGAATGACACACCGTCGTGCAATCCAATGTGCTTTTATCGACATTGGGCGTGGCAGGGGTCACTTAAAAATCACCCATGGGGAGTTAGAATAAGTCCCCAGTAATTTCCACTAAAAAGGTTACGACTGGCTTGATAGTATAATCATGTCTAGTGACTTGGTTTCTGCCTGTCTTGTCTGCACTCGATTACGATTAGAATCATCTTCTGTTCACATATTAACAATTAGACCACCAGCATCATGTATTTGTTTGAAGCCAAAAGCTAGTATCAACACAATCAGATAGTGAATCATTAACACGCAAGGACTTTTCTTTTCATCGTGGAGAGTGTTTTAATCGGTTATCTTCACATTGAGGTGCTCAATTTAATAGAAAGATGCGGTTCTGAAGTCCATCAACAAAAACTGACACAGACTGCTCTCTTAACCTTGCATGTCTGGTATTCTTGACATGTTCACACACAAAATTCCAGGCGAGGATTATTGAAGTGTCGTGCCATCGCGTTGCATTATTAACTCTAACACAGAACATTTAATTGGTTAAAACATGCATCAATATGCGTGTTGTTTGAGATTTGTGTGCCGAGTTGAGAACAGTTAAATGCTAAGGTTAAATGTATCATAGAAAAGCTATCATTCAGTCGTGGATTGTAGGACATGTTTTTTTAAGTCACTGGTCTGTCTGGTCTGGAGTCCAGGTTTGTTCACTGGTTGTTGTGACATACAAATATATAGACTATGACTGTAAATAAACATTAACTCTGGAGTCACTAGTTGTTATGACATACAGATATATAGACTATGACGGTAAACTAACATTAACTCACTTCATCAACGTTTAAGAAGAGATCAAAATATGCTGCATCAGAACATTTAAAAAAACACATTAAAGTTTAAAATACTTTTTTGGAAATCTAAACAAGCGTCTTTTGAATAAACCACGTTTGTGACAAGGACTGTCAATAATAGGGAAATATTACCTATTTCCCTATTTAGATATATGACTGGAATCGTGTGAGCAGTTCGTAGATTCACAATGTTGGAGTAATATGCACAAGATTCAGGTAAATAAATGTTAAAATAAGCGTTAGTGTCAACGATCGCAATACCAGATATGATATAATAAAATATATTCTGGACATTGTACACATATATTTGCTGACCATGACAATCCACAACAATACTTGCAGTCGTTGTCCTGAAGAACAATACTGCTACCTTGGCGACCATGTGTATGATCAGAATGTTATAGGAACCCAAGGTGCTGATTCTGATCGAAGGACAGATTTTGGACCATGGCATATTTGGTGTGTGATGAAGCATATATTTTTGGGGCTACCCATTTACACAAAAAACAGCGAGTGATTGCATTTAACACTACTTTTTAACAATTTTCTAGTTCTATCACAAAGTGTCAGCTTCATGTGGAAGAAAGGCCCGAGGAACTATTGGTCTCAGACATTTACCACTTTAGCTAAACCACGAACATGGGCATGGTGCCACACACCTACACACTTACACGAACCCAGATTAAAACCCATAAGTCCAGGTTTCTGGCGACTCGTCAGTTTAGGCGACTGAGCTTTCCGTGACCCTCATGCATACACAAATACCAATAGTACAATAATACTATTAAGATAAACAATCATTTTATCAACTCACCTGTATCAAACCATCGATCCTAAACTTACAGAACACGAAGCATTTGAACCATCAATCTCCAGTATCAATGTAGAATAAATTTTGTATGAGGAAACTAATTAGTTCTTGATAACAGTTTGCACGGATCATGATAACTTCTCACACTTTGTATTTTCTATCCTGTGTGCGATGAAGCTCCTCGGTGTTGGGAGTATTTGGCGCATCTGCGTCTTTTGGACAGTTTACGTTCGCAGCAGTGTTGATCAAACGTCCTACAAATGCAAAAAACATAATGTGATCAAGGATGAGCAAACAGAACCATTATACTCCGTCCTTGACAGTAACCTTGTGTCATGTGCCGTGACATGTAACAGAAATAACAGCTGTTTGTATTTTGTGTTCACCAGCCACAACAAGCGATGCGATGGTTATGAGGAAAAGCGTACGTAGATATTCACGGTTCTGTCTTTTTTGTTCATTTTGGGTGTTGATGGTGAATGGGTATGGAGTTGGGATGTCAACATTTCAGTAAATGAGTAGTTATATATAGAGTTCACACTTTTTTTAAAATATAATCTCCATTCAAGAGACGTCTGGGCTGTAGTGTGGGTTATGTAACTGTACAGCCCAGACTTGGCCCTCAGTGACTATTTCCTATTCCGGCCAATGAAATCTGCCCTACATGGAAGACGCTCCCAGGATGACGAGAACATAAAAGGCTGCCACAGAGGGTTAGAGGGCCAATCTGTGGATTACTATAAAAGTGGTATTAAAAGCTTGAAGGACTAAGGAATTAAGTGTATTAAGGTGAATGGAGATTATATTGAAAAATAAAAGTACAGAAGATATTCTGCGACTATATAATTAATTGAGACTTAGCAATCAGATGTAACAATCCTGATTCAAGTATGAGTCATCATTCTTGCAGTTGTTAATTGGGCCGTCACGTTGTTGCAGCATTTGCTAATCAAGATGCATTGTTTGTTTGTATATGCGTCATTGATTGCTGGATCTGAAACTAAAGGCATACTCACACATCTACTGAATTAAGTCGATGTTCTTTTTAATGATTCCAACTTGACTGTTTATCTGCCTGACATGATGCATTTAGCTTCTGCTCTTTATATCTGACTGGATGTAAGTTTACGTCACAGTCAGAACTATTCCGGCTATGTCACGACGGTCGGGAATGAAATTGAGTATATAAACCATCCAAACCAGTGGTGGATATTTTCGTGAATGTCCTGCTAAAGGTAGTAAAGTTAAAAGAAACCAGCAGTGTCCTACTAAAGGGTGGTACAATTTCAGGCAGTGGTTGATGTCATCTCAAGGATAGTACAATCACAGGCAATCAGCAATGTCCTGTTGAAGGATAGGAGAATTACACGAAAATCAACAATGCTAAAGGGTAGTACAATCACATGCAATGTCATGCTAAATGGGTGTCATGACTCCTCTGTTGACCGTTCACATCACATTTTCTTGAAGGTTATGATGATGGGGAGGACGATGGAACAGCGGGTACGAGAGTGAATAGCCTGCAGTACAAACAGACGTGCATGACGATTTGTGATAGTAAGTATCCTGTTTGATACCGCTGTCCTTATATTTTAGCAGTTGGGGAAATGGTATAATTTGCAAAATTGGCTACCCATATATGCTAGTATAAACTAAACGGCATCTAATCAACAAATTGGGGGCACGGGTGGGCCAGTCGTCTGAGGCGCCGTGCTCGTGGATTTCACCAAATCGGTGCAGGTCTGAGACCTGCATCATTTCGGGCTTTCCTGACACACCGCAATATAACTGCAATACTGCTAAAAACGTAGTTAAACCCAACTCGCTCACTCACTCATCAACAAATCTTATCTATTTGAGAAAAAAACAACACATTTGCTCCTTTTAAATGGTCCCCATAAATAGAACACACTGAAGGGGTTGAACGCCACACGCCCTCTCATGCCCTCTGAAATGTGACCGTGGTGGTTGTGCATTGTCGTATTGATGCGTACAAACATCAAAACATATTTTTAAAACCTGAAGAACACAATACACCAGTCAAGTATCCAACAGATTTCGGTGATAAGTATCATTAAAACTTATGGGTATTTTCCATTCATGAAACAATATTTCCTAAAATCACATAACTGTGCTTTTAAAAATAACAAAACATGTTCTGTATATCAGTCTGCAAAAAAGTAAACACTTCCCAGGCTCATTGTTCTTAAAAGTGATAAGGGAGGAATCGACCCACCGCCCATACCGACACAGCTGGGCACACATTGCACTTGGCTGCTTCCTTCAATGACAGTTGTTGAGCATGCAAAATCTGATCAACCAGGTAAATTGATAAATTGAAAAATGATGAGGCATTGATGCCTGAGATATATTTATCGAGGAATAATCAAATACAACTGATGTGGTGGTTGTTAATCCCAATGTATTATCTAAAACACAGAGCAAAAAGCCACATACAACTTATACATAAGGACTGGACAGAAACGAAATGGTGGTTCAAAAGCTGACGTGGTTTTAAGCCTCAAAGGGAGGTGTGGAGAAGGTACCAGACGCCTGACAAATGGGGAAGACATCACTCTAAGAAAAGGACGCGGAAGCATGTACAAGGTAACCTAACTGTTCCCGAAAGGAATGTTTTTTAAAGGTCGCTGCAGCATAAACAAGGTAACCTTACTGCCCCGACAGGAATGTAGATAAGGGATGCTGAAGCACACACAAGGTAACCTTACTGTCCCCGAATGGAATGTAGAAACGGGATGCTGAAGCACACACAAGGTAACCTAACTGTTCCCGAATTGAATGTAGATAAGGGATGCTGAAGCACACACAAAGTCACCTTACTATCCCCGAATGGAATGTAGAAAAGGGATGCTGAAGCACACACAAGGTAACCTTACTGTCCCCGAATGGAATGTAGAAAATGGATGCTGAAGCACTCACAAGGTAACCTAACTGTTCCCGAATTGAATGTAGATGAGGGATGCTGAAGCACACAAAAAGTCACCTTACTATCCCCGAATGGAATGTAGAAAAGGGATGCTGAAGCACACACAAGGTAACCTTACTGTCCCCGAATGGAATGTAGAAAATGGATGCTGAAGCACTCACAAGGTAACCTAACTGTTCCCGAATTGAATGTAGATAAGGGATGCTGAAGCACACAAAAAGTCACCTTACTATCCCCGAATGGAATGTGGAAAAGGGATGCTGAAGCACACACAAGGTAACCTTACTGTCCCCGAATGGAATGTAGAAAAGGGATGCTGAAGGACTCACAAGGTAACCTAACTGTTCCCGAATTGAATGTAGATAAGGGATGCTGAAGCACACACAAAGTAACCTAACTGTTCCCGAGTGGAATGTAGTTAAGGGATGCTGAAGCACACACAAAGTAACCTTACTGTCCCCGAATGGAATGTAGAAAAGGGATGCTGAAGCACACACAAGGTAACCTAACTGTCCCCGAATGGGATGTAGAAAATGGATGCTGAAGCACACACAAGGTAATCTAACTGTTCCCGAATGGAATGTAGTTACGGGATGCTGAAGCACACACAAACTTAGCCAACTGTTCCGGCTTTGATTGTGTCTAAGTGAGTGAGTGAGTTGGGTATAACGCCGCTTTTAACAGTATTCCAATTACATCGCAGCGTGTCAGCCTAATGTTGGAGAAAAGCCCGAAATGATGTAGGTCTCGTTTTCCACTTCGGTGAAAGCCACGAACATGGGTATGGTGCTGACAAACCTAGAAACATAATCGGGGCGAACCGGGATTCGAACCCACAATCATAGGTTTCTGGCGTGTGCAAGCGACGCAACAGTGCACAGCCAACCGCGGCGCCCTAGACGACTGGGACACCCGTGCCCCCAATTGTATCTCAGACTGGCCGAAGCACACACAAAGTAATACAATTCTTCCAGACTTAAGTTTAGCTGGAGGTCACCGAAAATCACAGACATGGTAACCTAACTGTTCCAAACTGGAATATAGTGGAAGCAGACGAAACACACAAAAGGTAACCTAACTGTTCACAATTGAAGTTTCAAATTTAAATAAAGAAACATGGTCTGCTACAATTGCCTGTTTTTAAAGATAAGCAACCCTGTTTACCAAGTATGTGAATATATATAATCTTTATTTTTTATTTTTCCACAGCACACTTTCCAGACATATCCCTGCTGAGCATCAGAAACATTCTGTATTGATAAGCCGGAATCACACAGGGATCATGATCAGTAGTTGAATACATAACAGGAAAGTGCATTGTACTTCCACACTAATCTAATTACTTAAAGAAATATAAACTGGTATTTATTTGTAGAAACGATTCCTTTCAGTTGACTGCCAATTCGCTGTGCCGTTTGGAAGGAATTGGTCTTGCCTTTTCTGATCCCTGCAACAAAGATGATTGGTTCATTGAATACGTGAGTCTCTATGCTTGTCATTATAGGAGTCAGTACTGCCTCGGTGTGTGTGATTGATTTTAGATGTAATCATACACAGATGAGAGCAGATAATATTTTCCGATCTGCTTTGGGAACAATCATCTGAAAGCGTGACGTTTAAGTACACTAACAAAGTAACACAATGTCCCACTGTGAACTGTTTTAGTAATATCCAGTAATATGCTACAGTGCCTGATTGATTGACTCTGCATCATCTGCGGCGATGCAGTATAATTATCCATTTCCACTATCTGGGGCAGAAGGCCAGAAACTCTGCCTGTTTGGGTCGGACTATGGATCATTGTTGGGCGTCGATGGAATATTATTATCCATTTCCACTATCGGGACAGAAGGGCCATAACTGCACGTTTGGGGTCAAGGTCACACGTCATATTGGTTGTTATCATGTATTATTTGTCAGAAACATTATATCTTGATTTTACAGAGGAAACAGTGATGCCATAACTATTAGTATGGATGCAAGGATTAATATCAACAATGAAACAAAGTAAATATTGCCGCACACCATCTGTGACCGAGGGTATGATTGCCCTGCTGGATCATCCTTGCGATTAGTTGTGAATTTCATTATTTCTGTTGAGTTTCAGGTTGAAGTTGACACTCAAGACGTGAACACAAACGAGACACACAGAGATTATTTTTTGATGAATCGCTGGCTCAGTGCCCATGGCAATGGTGAGGATGATGAACAGACAACCGGAATAACATGTTTCATAGTACCTCAGGGTCGGGCTATCGTCTCCACTATGAACAAACAACAGACTGAGTGCTTGTCCTACCAGATATGTGAGCGATGATGACAACAAAATGTCCGAGTTGTAACTACTGTAGGTTTTGTTCATATTGAACCTGTAAGACTATCACACTATTGGTGTTTACAAACAGGTGCATGTTGCGTCACTCAACTATGATGATACAATAAAATATGCAGTACTCATTATCTTATCACTCGTACCTTGTGCTTGCCTCTGGAAAACTTCCCATTGACACTACTGGTGCACTACATGAACTCATACCTCCCTTCTCTTACTGTGGAGAATCCATGTCTGGTTGAAGTATGAGACTCTAACTTGTCCTCCCATGAATAATCCGGGCCTAGCACACCTAATCATGAATTGCGTGTTTTCCTTAAAACGTCTGGAAGATAAAATAACCCTCGGTTGTTTCCTGACGGGGAATCCAATTATGACAGACCCAAACACACCTGCTTGTCCTCCTGTACAATGTCATGGCCGAGTAGATCAAGCAAACTTTCATTGCATTCCCGTTGAAAATCAAGGTTCGGTAGGTCTAACACATCTGCCTATCTGTCACTTGATAGCCAAACTCTCCCAGCCTATTTTCAGGTCAGGTCCCCAGGGTTGACATCAGAAGTAGCTTCTAGCTTCTTGCCAACTTGAGCGTTATCGATGTAGTTAAAAGGTCTACCGATCACGTGACTGAAATAAAGTAAATAAACAGAAGCTTAAAAAAACATTCATGCAAATTGCAGAACAGAGCAAAAGTATGATTTCTTGATGTTTGCTCGGATTTGAACCATGTACTGAACTATAAAATATATTAAAGGGTAACATACAGTCACACATACCTAATAAGGTTGCTGGACTAATGAAAGAGGTTCACTGCCATGCTTGTCTAAGAGAGGATGTAGACAATGATGGTGACAATCAGTTTGTTTCACCACCCTGGACAGATACACATACTTTCTTAAACTTTATATTCTTGGAAACACTAAGTGTTGCTGATGCAACATAACCACAGTCCTCCAGCTGGAATCTTCAGACTGGTCAGTCTCTTGTGTTGATGCTCTATTCTAATATTACCAATCTGTTGAGGCCCATATAACAATTTAAGCTTGACTAGACAAAATACACGTTTATTCACTCGATCAAGATGACATCGAACGTCAAAACAAACGTCCATCATATTTTCACAGCTGTAGTGCATATGTTTTATGCTGACTTGATGTTAATAGATAGGGGATTTTATATGTGGTGACTCTCAGTCCGCTATCAGAACTCATTTGATGATAAAGATATTTGCATCCCAGCATGACACTTGAACGTTGAAATACAGATTATTCCTGGTCA